TACTAGTGGGGGAGACAGGGCGAACACCCAGTGGACTGTGTCCTCTGGGAGAGGAATATATTTCTTTGAATAGGGCTACTGTTGGATGGCACTTCATTCACCCACATGAATTTAACAGTGTCCAACTCCCTGTTAATTTTTGTTAGTAACTGTGTAAACCAAGAAGAAAAAAAGCCACCAAGCATGAAATTCAAAGCAAAGGTAGCCAAGTATCACTCGGCGGTAAGGCCTCCTTGACATTAAAGGTGTGCCTGGCCCATGAGCACCATGTTGGTGACATGGAGGAAAGGTGTCTAGAACAGGGTGGCAAGCTTCACCAGACACTTCCCCCAGGACCCACAGCCACATGGCCCTCACTACTCTCTCTTCATCTTTTAACCATTAACACCAAATACTACCCTTTTAAGTGCTGCCGCAGTGTTGTGGACACTGGCTTCTTTCTAGAGGGAAACATCTTACACAGTGATTTAAAGGGGAGGGGAGATGTGATAGATGCTGTGCTGAGCCCTTTGCAGCCGGTCTGTACATCAGTAGCCCACTTTACAGATGATTAAATGGGCCAAAGTTCACAGACTTGCCCCAAAGAAGCTGGAATGTGGTTCCCCTGTGCCTCACCCATGGGCCTAGGGTTATCAAGGTGGCCTTCCAATCACAATCACAACGGATGGACACTTCTAGGCAAAAAGACAACCAAGAAGGATGTTCTTTTTATTAGTTCATTTCGTAGTTTTATGCATATCAACCTTCAGTTAATGTGCAAATGGCAAACGTCAGCCTCAAAGAAAATGGAGAGTGGCCAAAGAGCTGGATAAGCGTTGCTAGAATTAATGAAGTTGAAGTTGTGTACAGAATGGAGGCCTAGAAAGATGCCTTGGACTCTCACAGATTCCAGAGAAAAACTTACTCTCAGGTAGTATCAATAGCATGGCTGAGGCCTGGCCTCTAGAGCCCAGGGCTGGCACCTTGGGGTGGGGAGGACTTGGAATGGTTGGTTTCACACCTGAAGTGATGCAGCTTCTGTGGGAGCCCCATTCCACTCAGGAGCAGCCAGAACCTCTTTTTTTTCTGGAAATTTCCTGCAAAAAGAATCCCATACTGCCTCTATCCCAGAAGTCTTGTGAAGATAACATGGCAAGGAGCAATTAAGAGAAGTCCTCTCTGGCACATTCTTTTTCTAACATACCAGGACTCCCCAAAGTACCAGGCCAGGGGGAGAGAACTGATCAAAGCAAGATGGCCTTTTCACGAACATAGATAACTCTCCCCCATAAGCCAGTTCGTGGCCTCCATGGGGGAATTCCAAAATATGCATATTTCATTTCTTGGACTCCCTGCAGAAAATCTCTAGAAGAGGTTTGACATCAAGGTCATATTTATAGAGTATGGCAGTGCCAGGGGCCTGAGAACCCAGAACACTTTATACCTCAGACCAATGTGCAGATCTTAGGAGTCCAAAGGGAATGTCTTTTGCACCTCAGTAAAGGTAGGAGACAGGTAAATTCCAGGGCTTCACAACCTCATGCCCCTCCCATGAGCCCAAGAACAAGCCCCAGAAGGACCGGAGTAGCTCATGCCCCTCACTCTCATATGGACTAAAGCGCAACGTGGAGCAGGCTGTTTATGGGAATCCTCTGGTGGCTCAACCAAGCAAAAGAAACTGAACCTGCAATGCTCCAGGACCCACCTGGGCTGAGGACAGGACAGTCCCTGTCCAAAGGGCCTTTATGGTGACCTCTTCTGCTCGGGGCAGCCTCAGAAGAGGGGACATCACGTCCACCCTGAGTTTCAAGCCAGCCAAGGGCACCAGCCTTTCTTCCTGGCCATCGCTAGCAAGAGGAAGGGATGTTCCTGCACGGGCTGTGCCACTGGTGAAACCCACTCCTCAAAAAAGCCATCTCACAAAGGCAGTGGACAGACCTGTCTGGGCAGGTGATGCCACCACTTTATGGTGGGAGCCACTCCCCACATAAATCTTTCTCAAAATCATAATGCTTTCCAGTGACTGTCATGAGAGACACTTTGGCATGAAGAGCAGCCTCTTCCCATTAACCGCCTAGTGAAGAGCAAACTGCCTCATTAAAGTTTGTTCTTTAAACATCTTTCAGTGACTGGAAGCTGTTTAATGCTTTTGAAAATGAAGTTTCACGTAGAAGAGAACAAAATAAAAGGTGCTGCAGAAAGTATCAAAAGATCCCTAAAGCCAGTTTCCAAAGAGAACTCTGAGAAGGGAAAAAGAAAGAACAGGAAGAAGCTGTCTGCAAAGCCCAGCCTCTGTGCCAGTGAGAGTGGGGAACGCGCTTCAAACACAGCGATGTCCTCATACTCAGGTTAAGCTCCAGGCAGCAGGCCCCACTCAGCCAAAAGCAGCTACGATGATTCAAGGCTGTTTCTATCTGCCTGCCTGCACACAGCAGAGGCACCTTGACCGCCTGACCACTCAGGAACCTGGCCCTGCAGTGCTTCTATCCCTAATGGCCACACATAGCAGAAGCAGCAGCAGCAGCAGATGCTACCACAGCCAATTTAGCTTTTAAGTCTGGGCCACATGGGACAAGCTAAATGTAGAGGAAGGGCACAATTCACAGTTGCACTGAAGAGCAAGTACAAACTCGGCCATTTTCTCACCCATGGCCGGTCACACCCCAACTTGGGCTCTTTGGGGCCTCATCCTCAGCACAGTTACAGAGCCCTGCACACATGGAGGCCCCAGAGATCTAGGCCTAATCCCTGGTTTTTCAAGCTCTGCAAAGCTGCCTGGTTCCCAGATCTTCAGGCAAGCCCCAAACTGGAGATGAGGCCAACGTCACTGGACTGCCACCCTGTGTGTCTGTGTCCACCCACAATTCAGCCATGGGGAGGCTACATGCAGATTCTGCTTTGGCCTTTAGTAACATCTGATTTCACACTCAAATCTAAGTAGTCTGATGATGTCATTTCCAGTTCCCACAAAGATGCTAAGGAGCAAGTTAGAAAAGGTAGGGGAAATAAGCAACTGAAGAGTCCTCTTCAAGACTACCAAGAAGATGAGAATCCAAGAGCAAAATGGCAAAAAGCATTCCAAGAAGTTAACAGAATCTAGCAATCAGAACCACCTCCCAGGATAGAGCTGAGGATGTGGAGTAGTTCGATGTAGTGATCCTGGGGCAGGAAACAGCATTAGAGAGGTGCTGGCCCTAAGGATGTGTGCAAATATGAATATATACAACTTCTATTTTCTGGTATTCCAAAGATAAATCACACACTCTTTACAAAACTCAGCCAGCCAGAATGGCTCATTACTTGAGGGCTTTAGGATATGACAAGCCAAATAGACTATTTTACGGCTAGCACTGGCAGCCACAGCCCATCGGTACAAACAATCCTAATGAGGAGGCCTGTTCCTCTTCTTGAGCAGGGTCTGATTACAGGCTGCCCTGGACAGCCATGAGAGTCCCGGTCAGTTCACCGCATAGGCCTGCACACAGGCCAGGGGATTCTGGATTGTGCCGACATGGGCAGACACGAAACCAGGCCTAACTGCAAGAGGAGTAGGGAAAAGAAGATGCCCTGGGAACTGAGACCTGGTGACAACATGGGTTCCTCCCATAATGTCTTCCACTTGGGGACACAGGACAACTCAAACTAAGAGACCAACAGGATACAGATATGCAAGTATCTTGTTTATTAGCTGAATCGCTCATAATCATTTCTCTGATTTATATGATTTCGTATTATAACTACAGGTGACAGGTTAAATATGGACTGATTTTAAAACAGGGGGGAAAGAAATTAATTTAATAACTGCAATTTATATGGCAAAAAAATTCTTTCATGTCTATAGTCCATAGGAATAGGTAATAAAGAGGCTTCCAAGTGATGGTAATGTTATAAAGGAACTCAATGGGACAGAGTGACTTCCTCAGGTCTCAGCTACCCCCCCAACTCATTCCAAAATCAAAAACCAGAGCCCAAAACAGCATACATATATTCATGATATAAAAGGGTGACCAGTTCATCTTACTATGAGACAGAAGCAGGACCTTCAGAAACCACCTCTGCCTTCTCAGGTGCTTTGCAAGTTGTACTTTAGGAAAAAGAGACAGGTAAAACCAAACACAGGAAAACAGCCCTGAAAAATCAAGTGCCCCAGAAGGAAGGGGCAAAGGAGACAGGTGCCCCAAACATGATGGCAGTGAAGGACATTTATGTCAACTACCAGGGGCAAAGGGGACCAGATGGCAGTGAGGGACACCATGTATCATGGCACATGTTCCTGACACATATGTGAAGCTTGTTTTTCTGGAGATTTTTAGTGGCTCTTGTGTTCCAGGATAACTGAGGACACCTATTTAAAGGCTGTGGGCTCAAGTATATGACTTTGGAAGAATGGATCCTTCAAAGCTTGAAAATGTAAACAAACCAGAAATAATTAACTTTATATGGGTTAAAGATTTCTGAAATAATACTACCAGAGTATTTGTATCTTAACACCTAAGCCCATCTGCAGAACTGCAAAGAAACTAAATTTATCTATTATGCTGATCCACACATTCTCACAACAAGGACTTTGATGCATCCAGTACAAGAAGCATAAAAAAGCCTGAGGGGAAAAGCCCACTGAACTATCCACTTCAAAGAGCATGAGATCAATGCTGAGAGGGACAGGGAAGGCTTAGGAAAAGGGTAAATCTAACATCTGTGATGTTCACAGACTGGCAGAGAGACAAACAGAGGGATAACACACAGAAGTAGAGACAGACAGAGTGAGAAAGAGAAGAATACAATAAGAGATAGAGACAGAGAGACAGATGGATTTGCCATGTTGGGTATCACAAGCTGGCAAAGTCAGAAGTTGGATTTCTAAGGCAGATGTTGGCATGGCCACAGGTGGGCTCAGGGCAGAAGGCAGGCCTGAACCCAGTGGGCTGTAGCAAGCGCAGCCCTGAGGAACTCCCTCCATGCAAAGCTAAGTGCTGTACAGGCCTGAGGACATCACCCCAGGCACCACTGGGAGTGCCTACCTTTCCCATAGAAGAACTTCCGGTAGTAGTAGGCCCCAAGGTCCACGTGCTCGATGATGTAGCGCTTGACCTTCTCCCTGTGGATGGGCTGGCTCTCCCGGGGGACCTCTAGGACTGAGACACCTGCATTGGTGCAGTGGGAGCTGAGGGACGACTCAAAGGAGCAGCTCTCCCCAGAGCTGAAGGAGCCTGAGCAGGCCCGGGAGAGCGCAATCCGCCGGTCACCCTCACCACCAGTCTCATTCCTGAAGTGGGGGCAGCTGAGGACCAGGTCGTTGCTCTTGCCATCGCCCTCATCTGCATCCAGGTTTTCCTTGGAATTGAGGTCCTCTTTGCTGCCCAGTGGAGACTCGCAGCCACCTGCCTGGCCTGCGGCCACCTGGGTCTGTGATGCAGCAGAGGCCCCAGTGGTGATGTTTTTCCTTTTGCCCACATTAGCCCTTGTGGCCATGGCTTCATTGATGTTGAACAGGATGCTCTGGACATCGTAATGTGCAAAGCAACGCTGGCAACTCCAAGGGCGAACTCCCCTGTCAAGGCGGCCCTCTTCCAGGTCAGATGTGAACTTAAAGGTCTCATGCTCGCTCTTAACAGTCCGCAGCTTTCGGAAGAGGGACGTTTCCACTGACTCTGATTTTAATCTGCGCTTAAAAGGCTTGTCCCTGTCCCTCCCCATCAGAAGGGTGCTGTCCATGTAGTCTAATCCTGAGATGCGAACAATCTCTCCCCTAGAAATCTGGGCGGCAGCTCGAAGGCTGGGGGAGATCGCAGGGTCGCAGGGGAGAAACTCTGGAAACCCAAAAGGGCCTACTGCCTTGGGGTCGTAATTCTCCACTCGATACCCCCGGAGCATGGCAAAGAAGTTTTCTCCAGACAGGCCCTGCCTGTCAATGGAGGATGTGCTCCCGTACTCCCTGTGCAGGGCAGCCCCAGTGTTGGGGTTGACAGCACGCTGGTCTAAGACGTCTTCAGCATCAATGTCACTGATGGTGACATCACTGTTGCTTCTCTGTCGTATGGGGTGGAGTCCTCTTTGGGGGGAATGAACAAAGATGTCTCCAATGGTGTACTTGGCCTCTACAAAGTCTAGATCTAGCTGCTCCTCTTGCTGACTATCCCCCTGGTCACTCTGCCCATTCTGCAGGATGGATGTGACGCTGTCATAGCTGGTCTGAGACCGGCTTTCCCAAAGTGTCTTGCAGGTTGACTCCTTAGAGAAGTCTTTTTTGGGAGGCCATTCAGACACTCTGGCTCGCACACCCATTTTAGGCACAGCTGGAGTACCATTGCCCGGGCCACCACCACCACCACCACCCTCACTGGGATTTGAGGCATTTAAAGAAGTAGTAGGTCCCATGTTGCCATTAATGGCTTTAAATTTTCGAGCAAAATAATCATCTGACTGCATGATTCTGGAAGGGTCCATGAACTTTGAAGAGGCTCTGCCGAGCTTGTGCTTCTCTGTATGTGACTGCCTTGGGTCACTCATGTCCACTGAGGAAAGAAGCTCCAAGTTTCATCAGAACAACTGGTGAGAAGCCACTTCCATTGTCTTTACAAGACTAGAATAAATGCAGATATAAAGGCTTGTTCTATGGTGCCTTTTTATCAAAAGCAAACAACATCCTCAGAGTACAGTTCCTCTAAAGTCACCTTGTTTCCCAGTTGTTATGATAATTTTGTCACCTGTTCTTTTCAACAGCATTCCTGGAGAAGTCTGGTCATGAGTATTTCTTTCACCTGAATTAAAAGACAGGAAATAGCCATTAGCAATTGATTTAGTTCAAGTTCAGTACATCCTGCAGACTGTTTCCTCATCTTTCACACCTGCTTCTGTCTTCATCAATTACCCCAAATTGTTACAAAGTCTCATGTCTGCAAGCCACTGTTCACAGTGCTTGGTTTCTCTGGAGCACTTGTGCTCCTCTACAAGGCCAGCTAGAACTCACAGAACCAAGCAGTACACTCTTGCTCTTGGTGAAACTGTACAGGGTGTCTCCCACCCTCACCCACATCTGAGCAAAGAGCACTTTCCCCTTGCAGCACCCAAGACAGTACATCCAAGAGCAGTCTATCTCTAATTGCCGTACACAGATCAGTGACCATACCAGCGGACTTCCAGCCCCATGAAGCCAGGGGTCTTGCCTTTCAGCTGTATGCCAGGCTGCTATCATGCAGCCTAGCTCAAATGAGGTGAGCACGCAACAGGAATAAATCAGCTCCAAGAGTAATACTAAGAGTAACAGTTATGTATGTAATGCATCTGAGTACCATGACATGTTGTTTCAGAGAAGCCAAAATGTCCCACAGCAGGAGAGTCAATACCACTATTAACAAATGAGTTTTTATAATGATCATTCACAACCAAACTGGAGCTTTCGGAGGCCCCTGACAGTGGGAAGGAGTCCTCAAGAATTTGGTGACTCAAAGAGTACAATTTCTAGCTCACTATGCCACAAGCAACCATCAAACAGGCAGGATAAAATGAAGGCAAGTATTAACCCAGGCGCTACAGAAACTTGACGTGATCAACTCTTCAGCTACAAATGTTTTTATTTTCTTTTCTATCTTCAATTAGACAAAAATATTCCCAGGTATTATATATTTTCCCAACTCATAATATGCTCCTATTTCCCAACTCACTGACCTAAGAATGAAAGAACAATTCTACCTCTTCTGAAAATGATGATGGTAGGAAAAGTATAATAAAGCCAATTTCTCTCACCCTTTATGAAAGCATAAGATACAACTGCAAATTAGGTTGGAAAATATTAAAATCTCAACTAGCTAAATAAATAGTGTGCCAACTCTTTCCAGGGGGCCTTAGATGGCTGTGAGATATGTGGAGGTCTCTTGGAATAGCAGGTATTTTCCTATGACAACAGTTGCTTTCCTCCCACTATCAAAAAAAAAAAAATCAGTCTGGGCATGACAGTGTGCTATTTATCCCAGAGCTGTTTCATAACTGAGAAAATATGATATTTTAGGATATGGCAAACAAGGGGAGAATGAGCAGTCAGATGCACAGAACAGAACAGAAATACTGGCCCAGCGTTCTCAGAAAGACAGATAAACAACTACATTTTATCTATTCCACTTAGAATTATTATGTTTAAAAGGATCACAGATGACTGAATTATAGTTATTTCCTGTACAATTTAGGCTATTATCAAATCTGTCCCTGGAAACTGAAAAGGTGACAACAGAGGTACAAAAGAAAACAATTTCTTCTCTCATCTGAACACATTTCAACAGAAATGTGATTCACTCAACTAGGCTGCTACAGAATCTATCAATTCTATCAATAGTTGCTGCTTAAGGAACACAACAAAATTTTAAAGCTTAATAATTACTCCTAAGAGTTGGTACAGTGCTATGAGAATTCTCAACAGGCATTATATCAAACTCACCGAGTTACACACTATTAATTTGGAGATGTTTTATGTGCAAAAGGAAGAATGCTGCCCCACCCAGCACCTAATTTCTGGAAACATAAACAGGAACTGGGTGCTTACCACTTTAGGAAGGTACAAAGCAAACAGCATGTACCAGAGGAAACCAGAAATTAATGGAATGGAAGAAAAGTTGAAAGAACAAACAAATAAAAAATAGTTTTTAAAAAGAGTAGGAAAATAGATATATTCCTTTTTCCAAGCCTCCAAAGAGAGATAGAACATAAGAAAGGAGATATAAGCACATATATGGGAGACATTAAAATAAATACAAATATAAAAGAAGTATACCAGAAGCAAATATATGGCAACAAATTTGAAAACTCAGAGGAAACTACTAATTTCTTAGTAAAACACAAATTTCTAAAACAATAATGAAAAATTTGAATAGACTGATTACCACTGGAAAAAAACATAACCAGATCCTAACTAAAAATGATCTAACAAACTACATAAAATACATTGCTCTGAAACTCCTTTATCTTCCTAAGTGCTATGTAAAAAGTTAATTACCTTCCTTCCTTTTCCATGCTGCAGTACACAGTGAGGCCCCGATATCCTTACAGCACTAGGAGGCAAGGCAGGAAAGTGCTCAAGATGAAAGGGGCAGTGAAGAGGCTGGCCTGTGGCCAATCCTACCTCCTGAGAGCGAGCCGGTGGGCATCTGCCCACACCTATCACCCTCTCACCATACTCCAGTGAAAGTTCTAATTCTAAGCCACTTACAACAGACTGGCAAAAGAACAGAGAAACTATTAAAGATGAAAACTAGGACTAGCAAGGACAAGACATACACCAAGCTGTCAGTGCTAGAAACACTGACCATAAAGTGGTCAGAACTTACTGAGCTCAGATCCTTACTTGAAAATTTATCTTCTGAGATTTCACATCCTTTTAACATTTTATCATTGTTTAACAGATAATAATCAAAATACACAATATTTAGGGCTGGGGATTTAGCTCAGTGGTGCCGCTGCCTGCCTCGCAAGCACAAGGTCCTGAGTTTGATCCCTAGTACCAAAAAAAAAAAAAAACCACAATGTTTATTCCATATCTCTCTTGAAAAAGACACTAATAAATAGTTCCCCCAAAAGCGACTGTTTTAAGACATACATAAGTAATGCAATTAAAAATGAATGAATTTGTGCTGAACTTTATTATTAGGATAAAAACTATAGCAAACTCATATCAACCCCTCAAAGGAATCTGGATATATTCCTTCAACTGTAAATTTTCAAAACTTTTTGTGAAAAGGTCATTAGCCCTAGGGGGGAGCTCCTGATGTCTGTCTAGGACCTATTCTCTTTTACTTCAGGAACTGGTATCTAGAATTCCTTTGAGATATCCTTTAATTTGTGTGGAACTAACTCCACCCCTGACATGTGACCTGGTTTGAACTATCAGAGTAATGCATCCTCTGGCCACAGTGACCATTCTTGAGATGCACCTGGCTTCCATCCCCTGCGTGGACTTGGAGATTTTGACCACTTCAGTTTGCTGAGATTCTGCATGTTACTTAGTCACTTTTTGTCTCCATATACAGTATATCTCTCTACCTCTATACATACATGTGTGTCTCTGCCCACCCCCATTTTCTACACTACACCTCAATCATATTCTACCAAGTGCCTTTCCACTTTTCAAACACCCCACACTCCAGGCTGTTGTCCGAGCTGCTCCCTCTAAATGGGGTCAGCTGCCTGGGTGAAGATGACCATAATTCTTCATCATCTCTGGCCTCCCCAACTAGTATCCCTGTGACCTATTCCCATGACACTGTCCCCTTCCCAGACACTGTCTTCTATAACTAACAGCACTCCCCACTTCCCTCTGTGTGCATCTACACACACACAGACTATGGGCTCAGGACTATGTCATTTCAGTCACTATTCCCCCGACAGTGCCTGGCACTTTCTATTATAGATGTTCAATAAATAATAAGTAAGGTGGAACCCGCCCATCAGCGACCAGCCTGCAGAAGGTGAGGACCTCACTGGCCATGTGAAGCCCCACCCCATCCCACCCTCCTTGTCCCACACCCCCAGCCACCAGCTTAGCCATGCAGCCCTCCTGGCTGTGCCAGTACCTAGTTCCGTACTATAGAGGTACAGGGGGTCATAAAGGCCATTGTTCTGAGCTCCAGAAGATAGAGCAGAAGTGAACAAACAGAAAGAGGGCCTCTCTCAGGCTCCCTGATGAAAACTGAAGCCCACTGGAAAAGTGAAGAGAATCTCTGCAATAAAGGCACACCAGACCACCGTACTTGTTAAGTTGAAGGGATCATCATCTCACATCAGAACCAGGACTGTCTTCAGGGGAAGGGCAGCTGGAACCTGCAGTAGAGCCTTGCAGATTTCAACCCTCAGGAGGACAGGGAGCTCAACTTGGGGCTAGCAGTCAGAAACATGCCTGAATCTCATGAGTCTGTGACTGGCTTGCTGAGACTCATTGACTTATCTCTGCACACTGCTGCCCACATTGTCTATTGTGACAGCAGAGACATACCATGAAGGAGGCCCTTCATTTTTATTTTTTATTTTCAAATTTATTTTTTTGCTCTTATTT